ATTCGACGCGTGGTAATTCGATGCGTGGTAATTCAACACGTAGCAATTCCACGCATGGTAATTCTACGGATAGTAATTCAACGCGTAGTAATTCGACGCGTGGTAATTCGACGCGTGGTAGTTTCACGCGTAGTAATTCCATGCATGGTAATTCGACGCGTGATAGTTCCACGCATGGTAATTCTACGGATAGTAATTCAACGCGTAGTAATTCAACGCGTGGTAATTCGACGCGTGGTAATTCGATGCGTGGTAATTCAACACGTAGCAATTCCACGCATGGTAATTCTACGGATAGTAATTCAACGCGTAGTAATTCAACGCGTGGTGATTCGACGCGTGGTAATTCGATGCGTGGTAATTCAACACGTAGCAATTCCACGCATGGTAATTCTACGGATAGTAATTCAACGCGTAGTAATTCAACGCGTGGTAATTCGACGCGTGGTAATTCGATGCGTGGTAATTCCATGCGTGGTAATTCCACGCGTAGTAATTCCACGCGTGGTTATTCGATGCATGGTAATTCCACGCGTAATAATTCAACGCGCACAACTAATTCTCACGCTCTGATTGCTCCGTGTTTTTCCTTAATAATTCTAAAACGGAGCTTCAAACCCCATTTTCGCAAAGGGAAATCTTATGCAGAATTACATCAGCTACCCCCCATTTCATGGACCTACACTAATTGTGAAGCACCCTATGTAAATCCTCGATTGTGAACTTCCACACTAGAAATCCTCTTAGCTGTCTTTTAACATATTTAAAATTTTTGATGTTTCTACAACTTTGTGATAACTAAAAGAACTGTACGTGTTCACACGTACAATTTCTTTTTTACTTTGTTTATGCAGAAAATTGCAGCTGACGCGTTGCACCGATAAGCAAGGCATAATTTGTGGAGTGAACCCCGTTTTATGGCACGAACGTGACTTTGTGGCTTTTTTCCGAGATTCGTGGTCTCTTTTATGACGGGAAATTTTTGAAACGTTGACGAGGCGACGATTGTGCAGAAACGTGATATATTTTTCTTGCTTTGAAAGCACGATGTTTTCGTTGTGCATCGAAAACAGAGCGAGACTGATTTTTCTTATCAACCAATTTATCTCTCGAAATTATTTCTCTTCAGTTTAGTTTCGAAATCGTCGATGAATTATAGAAATTTATAATGATACTTCCACGGTGTCGCTTTGAATAATTCATGCTTTCGTTGCATGTTATTTCAACGTTCGTTTAACAAAAGCTGTAACGAGTTGAATCTAACCTGGACATTAATTATTTAGTGACCCATTTACGGAGTCAACGAGTTCTCATTTTTCCATTCTGCTCCAGATCGTACATTTCCAGTTTATGATTCTTGAGAGAAATTACCGTGTATTTCCGTGAATTTTCCGCTAACTTTTATCGCGATATGTGGATAACTGATTAAACAGCGCTTTCCACTGTGTGTGTACCGATGATGAGATCGAATCTTTCAGCGGTGCATTTAAGAATTAACCTTCATATAGTATTCGTTTATATGTTAAGCTAACAGTGTGCGTATGTATATTTGCACATTTTTTTTCTTTACTGTTTTAATTACTTTGCTACTTTGTTTACTGTTGTTATGCTGTTTCTGCGATATTTTAGTCTACTTTTATATTTTATTATTCCACTATTCTGTTACTTCACTGCACTACTATTTTAATAGTGTATCATTAATTCTATCATACCACTACACCATCACACATTTCACTATACTCCTTCTACCATTCCACTTACTCAGCCCCTCAAAATCTACCAATTAAACTTCACACGAATTTCCCGAGAAAATCCATCATACCTTGCAGTATCCTTCAAAATGTCTGCCAAGAGTGATCTCCAAACATACACACAATGAATCATATTTTTAAATACCGCAGCTTCAGCAAGTAATAACCTCAAAAATCTCTTCGATATCCACACGTTACAAAAGAATAGAAATTCGACATCTAAAAATATGAAACCAACTCGACGGTAAAAATAAATCTCCGTAGTATAATCTAAAAGCAGATTCTAATAATACTATTCTAAAAGAGAAGTCTAATAATAATATTCTAAAAGTAAATTCTAATAATAATATTCTAAAAATCTATAATATTCTAAAAGAGGAAGCGTATTATAAGATAGTAGTATTTGTCTGAAAGAAAAATAATTAATTTTACAAATTAATTTTATAAATTCATGAATTTTATTTTGTGAATGTTTGAACTTATAATAATTTCAAATGTTTACGTTTTGCAGATGTACTCTTTCCGCCGTCGCACAAACTGACAGTGGCAGAGGTGTTCGATCCTCAGACGAATCGACCACGACCGGAAATCCTGAAGCAACACTTTATCCTCGAGGGCAGGATCGACGAGGCGGCAGCCCTTCGTATAGTGAACGATGGAGCCGCTCTGCTGCGTTCCGAGAAGACTATGATCGACATCGAGGCTCCAGTCACCGGTAAGTCCACGTTCTGTTTCTTCTTCTTTTTGTTCAAAAAAAAATTACACCTCGTTACGAGCATCAGAAACACGTCGTTATCTCTGACCTTGTTTTCGAAGCTTTCTACGACTTCTCTAAGTGCGATTCTACTTTTTCTTTGATCTGGCGCCGAAATAAATGAGCTCGAAAAAAGCGGTCTCGTACGAGAGACGTGAGGGATAACGTGTGATAATTCGATAATAACGAAGGCGATGATGGGACTGGGATTTGGAATTATAGAAATTGGAGAAGTTGTGCAATTTTGCAGTTTTGGAAATTTTAGTTTTTGTATACTTTACAATTTGCAGATTTAGAATTTGCAGACGCGAGAGGGATAATTTCGAGTCTATGACGCATGGTAATTCGACGCGTAGTAATTCCACGCGTAGTAATTCAACGCGTGGTAATTCGACGCATAGTAATTCGACGCGTGGTAATTCGACGCGTGGTATTTCGACGCATAGTAATTCGACGCGTGGTAATTCGACGCGTGGTAATTCGACGCGTGGTAATTCGACGCGTGGTAATTCGACGCGTGGTAATTCGACGCGTGGTAATTCGACGCGTGGTAATTCGACGCGTGGTAATTCGACGCGTGGTAATTCGACGCGTGGTAATTCGACGCGTGGTAATTCGACGCGTGGTAATTCAACGCGTGGTAATTCGACGCATAGTAATTCGACGCGTGGTAATTCGACGCGTGGTATTTCGACGCATAGTAATTCGACGCATGGTAATTCGACGCGTGGTAATTCGGCGCGTGGTGATTCGACGCGTGGTAACTCGACGCGTGGTAATTCGACGTGTGGTAATGCGACGCGTGGCATCGACGCGTAGTAATTCCACGCGTGGTAATTCGACGCGTTGTAATTCCATGCGTGGTAATTCCACGCGTGGTAATTCGACGCGTGGTAATTCGACGCGTGGTAATTCGACGCGTGGTAATTCGACGCGTGGTAATTCGACGCGTGGTAATTCGACGCGTGGTAATTCGACGCGTGGTAATTCGACGCGTGGTAATACAACGCGTGGTAATTCGACGCGTGGTAATACGGCACGTGGTAATTCGATGGTAATTCGACGCGTGGTAATTCGACGCGTGGTAATTCGACGCGTGGTAATTCGACGCGTGGTAATTCGACGCGTGGTAATTCGACGCGTGGTAATTCGACGCGTGGTAATTCGACGCGTGGTAATTCGACGCGTGGTAATTCGACGCGTGGTAATTCGACGCGTGGTAATTCGACGCGTGGTAATTCAACGCGTAGTAATTCGACGCGTGGTAATACGACGCGTGGTAATACGACGCGTGGTAATTCGACGCGTGGTTATTCGATACGTAGTAATTCCACGCGTGATAATTCGACACGTAGTAATTCCACGCGTGGTAATTCGACGCATAGTAACTCAACGCGTCGGAATTCGATCCCCAGTTTAGAGTTGGGGAATTTTGGTGATTTTTAGTATTTGGGGGATTCGAAGGATTTTTACAATTTGGGGAATTATAGAAATTTGGGGATTTGTGGGATTTGGGATATTTCAGAAATCTGAGGATTTGCTTGATTTGGAAATTTAGCAAATTTTACATTTGAGAACTTAGGTATTTGACCATTTTAATGTTTGAAAATTTGGTGACTTTGGGAATTTAAGGAATTTTAGGATTTGGGGAATTTGGGAGATTTGTAAAAATTTTTGAATTTAAGGATTTTTGAATTTGAGGGTCTTTTTGGAATTTAGGGAATTTTGGAAATTTTAGTATTTAGAGAATCTGCTGTTCCTGGGTCATTTGAGATACTTCAGATGGAACTTTAACTTTATAAAGTTAGAAAATATGAGGAATTTTTAAAGTTTAGGGATTCTAAACCTTACTTAAGGATTGTCATATTTATAAATTTGGAGATCTGATACTTCGAAAACCTAAAAATGAAAAAACTGATAGATTTTGAAAATTCAGGAAAGTTAGAGAATTTTGAAAAATTGCAGTCTTTTAAAATGAACGATTTTATTGAATTTCAAAAATAAAATTCACCACCCTAAAATTTGAAAATTCAAAGCTTTAAAGACATGAGATATTCAAAATATTAAAATTGCAGCACATAAAAATTAAAAAATTGTGGAGTTCAAGATTGAAAACTTTGAAAGTTTACGAAGTGTGAATTAAGATAGCGGAATTGTATTCGAATCGATGCTTCATAAGATCAGTCGGTCGACTCGCGACGATCAGCTTTCGCGGGGTTAAAACACAGAAACGCGTCAAAGCGGGGTGACGCGTGTTGGCTCGCTCGAAAGCGTCGAGGCCTCGGCTTTCTACCTGGTCGAAGGTTTAAGGCCGATCCACACAAGCGGAATCGATCTAGCTACCCTTATTGGATCAGGCGAAACGAACCGCTCAACCGTGAATCCGTCACACGCTCGTTCGTTCACGGATCGACACAACGTCGATATACATATGTATACGTATACGTATACCCGTGCTTTCACGCTGCGATCGTTCTCGTGTAAACGCACACCAAAGCCAGCTAGTCGCTGTTTCTCGCTGCGGCGCGTGGAAACTGTGTCAAGAGCCTTTCACGTTTTTCACTTTAACGTGTCTCGATATATGTAGAATGCGTCCTCTCGACCGAGACTCCCTTCTTCTCGCGTTTTATTTTTTTTCCTCCTCGTTTCTGACGCAACGAATCGATTCTAACTACGAAATTGTTAAGTCGGGAGACGGTTAAACGTCGTTTAATTAAACGACCGCGGAAAATGTCGGCGAAAAGAATTTTTAACGTCGGAAATTACACGACTCTCAAGACTTCTAAATTTGCGGCTCTTCGAGTTTTCTAATTTTGATATTTCCTTTAATTAATTTTATTCGAATGGAGCGCGATTTGAATTTTATCCGTTTAGTCGAACAACGGACGTAACGTTTCGTTCGGATTAGTAAATTCTGATTACTTGATTCCAGTCAGTTATATGCTAAAGCTTAAGCGCTTACTTCTGATCCTGCTCATCCTAATTGATTAGTTCAGCTTGCTAGTCCGATCCACCTGATTTCCCTGATTATATTACTTAAGCTGTCTACCGATTGTTTAATACACGATAATTGAATTTCATACTTACAATGAGCTGTCGGATTCGATGACTGCTTCAAAAATTTATTGATCGTTCGGTAATTGGTATTTGGGCTGCCGATATTAGGGGATTAGCATTGTAAACGTTCCATCTCTGGGTTTTTGGAAATTTGAAATTTATGGGTTTTGATACTTCAGGTTTTGGGTTTATGGGTTTCTGGGTTTTGGGTTTTAGAGTTCTTGGATTTTTGGATTTATGGATTTTTGGATTTTTGGACTTTTGGATTTTTGGGTTTTGGGTTCTTGGGTTTTTGGGTTTCTGGATTCTTGGGTTTTTTGATTTTTGGGTTCTTGAATTTTTGGGTTTTGGGTTCTTGGGTTTCTGGGTTCTTGGGTTTCTGGGTTCTTGGGTTTCTAGGGTTCTGGGTTTTTGGGTTTCAGGGTTCTTGGGTTTCCGGATTGTTGGGTTTCTGGGTTTTGGGTTCCTGGGTTTTTGGGTTTTTGGATTCTTGGGTTTCTGGGTTCTTGGGTTTCTGAGTTCTTGGGTTTCTGAGTTCTTAGGTTTCTGGGTTCTTAGGTTTTTGGGTTCTTGGGTTCTTGGGTTTTTGGGTTCTTGGGTTTTTGGGTTCTTGAATTTTTGCGTTTCTGGCATTGTTGGGATTTTGGGGATTTTTGGGTTTCTGGGATTGTACGATTTATGGGTTTTTGTGATTACATAGTTAGTTTATCAGGATTTTATATTTTAAGAATTTCATATTTTGGGTTTCACAAGCTTAGGATTTTTAGATTTATGGGTTTTTGGATTTTTGAAGTTTTGAAATCGTGAATTTTTGTGCTTTTCAGTTCGTAGGATTTTGTACATTTCGAACTTCTGCACCTCTGTTGTTCCTGAATATTCCATTTCCGAAACCTGAATTTTAACCTACAATTTCACTATTTGAAATTGTATTTTATACCTTCAACATCGACCTACATCCAAGGCAACAAGCAATATCATAATTTCCATAATTTTCGAACGATCCAATTAAACCATACAAATTCCCCAGTTATTCGAAATAAGTGAAAATTTCAATGATTTCGCAGTAGCAACAGCATCATCGCGCCGACATGCACCGTTCCCTTCCATCGCGAATCCTCAATTACGTGCATCAATTACGGTCATCACGGTCGTCTTCACGGTGTCTGCGATTGTTCTCCGAGCACAATACACACCAGAACACAATAACTCGGATCGATTCGATTCTGTCCTTCATCCCCTTTTGCCACACCGTCGACGTATAAACCGCCTCGTCGTCTTTTCCAACAGGCTAGTTATTACCTTCCGTCGACGGTGAGACGCGACTTTTATTGCTTCGGATTAATTCTCTTTCTTTGCATTGATCTTCTTCGTCTTCTGCTCTCTTTTTACCGAGAAACAACCTGGATATTGTCCTTCGCTCGCTTCTGTCACGTTGCATTCAATTAACTTTATGTTGCTACCAGAGGAGCGGAATATTGCATCCGAAATTGTTCACGGATCGACTGTACTCTTTTTTGGGGGATTTTTTGACGTTTGAAATGTAAGATGGGATTTGGAGATTTTTGCGTTTGGGGATTTAGGGATTTTTGGGGTTAAGGATTTGAGGATTTGGGGATTTAGGGATTTTTGGGGTTAAGGATTTGAGGATTTGGGGATTTAGGGATTTAGGGGATTTTAGGGATTTAGGGATTTTGGGGATTTAGGGATTTTGGGAATTTAGAGATTTTGGGGATTTAGGGATTTTGGGGATTTAAGGATTTTGAGGATTTTTTATGTTTTTGGGATTTTGGGGATTTGGGGAATTTTGGGGAATTTGGGATTATTGGGAATTTGGAGATTTTGGGATTTTTGGGATTTTTGGGAATTTGGAAATTTTTTGATTTTAGGGATTTTAGAGATTTTAG